GCAAACCTCTGACAAACAGCCCTTGTTCATGATAGCCTCCAGTACTTGCTCACCATCATAACAGCATCTCATAAATTGGATTTATCATGTTCCCTTAACCTCAGTACACTCTCAATTTATTCACTACATCACTCCCACCATTCTAAGTGCCTGAATAGCTCTATACCAATAAAGTGTCATCTTGTTCACTAATCTAAATGAAATTGAATCAATTTTCCTTTCCTCACCACCATATCTGGATGTTTCTCACAAGACCCCTTTCCCCCAGCTTTTATTAAATCTTCAAAAAGAATCAGGTTGAAGCTATTACATAGACCTGCAGATCTAAAATGAAAAGCATTAATGCTTTATAATCCTCCTCTCCTTGCCTTCCAGAAAGGAACAAAACACTTGCATCTTGCCATGAAAAGACATGTTATATCAGGGCTAAGAACCTAGGAGACTGGTTTTAATAAGTATCATGACAATTTCAGCTGATTTTAAATAGCAGTTAACTTTGAGATATGATTTCACTTTTTATCAGAGTTTGTGTGGGTGAAGTCATGACATTTAAGACCATCTCCCTTTTAACAAATGCCATGAAATCACTCATGAATAATGCATAAATTCAAGCCAATAAAATCTTTATGCCATGCCAGTCTCTTATTTGCAGGAAATAAAATTATAGCATAATGTGCAGTAAACTATAACCAGAGGAGTCCTGCTGTCATGAGACATAATCATAGGCATAATGTGGGAGAGTACTGAGCACGGCATATGTGTGCCGTTCTAGAAGGTTCACAAGAACCTCTGCAGCAGAAGGGTCTGACAGCACAGCGTGTTTCTGGGGGCCAGCAGCAGGCAGCATATGGGAAAAGACAGAAATTGGCCATCTGGAAGGAGGAAGTCGCACAGGCCAGGGGCTGCAGTGATAATGCAATTATAATCACTGCTTTCTCTCTCTTTTTTAGCCAAACTGAGCATTTTAGGGAATTTAGACTGAAGTCTAAAATTAACCATGAAACACTCATGGTGTAATACAGCCACAAAACAATGAATGATACAGGTTTTGCATTGTGCTTTTTAAATAAACGGTGTGCAAGAGATCAAATTTTGTGCCAACTGCACTTCAATGACATTTACTTTGTCTAGTAGTTGCCACAAGTCAGTCATCTTTCTCTAAACACATCTGTTTTACAGGTTTATTTGTGGTCTATCATAACTATTGTTCAAATTCATAATCAAAAGAAAGGTAAACATTACTGTTCTTGTAGAGCAAAAAGCCATATCATGACATGCCAAGTTCAGCTTCCCCTGATTTTGCATCAAGACTGTGAAGACTGCCTCAGTCCTGATCTTTATTAGCAGCCAGGACAAATTTCTAACCTAACCCAGAGGCTCCACACAAAGGGATAAAAGCCATCCAGGAGCAAGACATGACCAAGCACATCCTAGCAGGTAATTGGTTCAACTCTCTCAATCGCTGGTGAGACACAGGGCTCTGCAGACACTTCAGTTCTTGGCTATAAACTTTAGATAGATAATTTGAACTGATTAGTAAGTTCTTTGCAGTTTTCTATAGAAAATTCTGTGGCCATGAGAGACAGTATTACCTTGATAGATTTTGAAATGCAAGAAAATGGTCATTTATCTTGCTTGTGATCTTCATTTTATCACTATCTTGTGGAAATTACTAAAATGTCCTTTTTACAAAGGAACTGTGACTGAGTGCTGCTACTGCAGGCCCATATTACCAAAGTGTTCCATTCCCCTACAGACATAACCAAAAACAAATAAAACCCCACCTGTTTGTTCCATAGCCACACTTGTAGATAGTTTAGCAGCAATCTCATCTAACTGCAAGCAGGGAGAAAAAATTAATTACATGATGAAGCCATGCTAGAGATCGAGTCACGAGTTTAAACCTTACACTGTCATTCTCCTTTTAGAGGAGCTTTGTGGGAGAAACAAAACCAATTTTGCTGTATTACTTACTCTAACATGGTTTGTCTGAATAGAGCAACGGACGTGAGAACAGGATTGATGTACGTAGTTTACTTCTCAGACTTTGGAGGAAATCAAACTATTTGAATGCAAAAGTATCCTGATAAAAGCTGGAAGCACATACAGACTTGTATATAACAGCAGCCTGCTACAACAGGCTGTGGATTTTAAAGCCTGGAAAAAAAATAAATCTAAAGGCAGGCTTTTGCATTTCACATAGTAGTTTCTTCACTGAATCCAAGAATTGGGGCTTGGTGTTCAATACAACACATCCATAAGTGAAGACTGAGTATGAGACACTTAATAGCATTATGCATTTTCCTCTACTATAAATGTTATATTCTAATACAACATTTAGGATTTGCTCATCCATTAAGGTAAGGCCACCATGAAGCATTTAAACATTACAGATTGTACCATGGTTCTACTACGCACTTTGTAGAAGCAGGTATTTAACTAACTTACAATCACATCCTAATCTGCCATCTTTCACCACAAGGCAAGAGGTTTAGGTACCTAGAACTACAACTGTTACAAATGCAGGAGGACTGATCCACCTTAGTTGCACTGCTGCTGCTGCGAGAGTCATTAAGTGAGAAAGCAAGTCAGCAGTTCTGTTTCAGCACTGTGATGATCAAGTTTGACAATGGCACACCATGCTGGGGCTTCCCACCTGCCTAACAATGGGTCAAATGAAATGCTGTCAAGGAACAGTTGAAATGTGCCTTAGTACAATTGTCTAAAGTCATAGCATGGAACAAATTTTTATTTTTACATTGATGAATACAGTCTTTCATTGGAGAATAAAGCACTTTAGAAGAATTCATTAGAAGTCTAGCAGTTAGATAAGTAGCAATTATTTACCTGCATCTGAAATTAAGCCATACCACAGCAAGGTTCTGACTTGCCCAAATAATCATTCTGAATGGGTAACAAGCCAAGAATACAGCTCAGCTCTGCTTTCTCAGTTCTGTCATTTAACCAATTCCTCCCATGGAAGTCCCCACTACAGTACAAATGAACTTGCAAGAAGCAAATTTGTGCTTCTCTTACAAGAGCTTATGAATGATCAACACAGGGGCCCAAAATAAAGGGATAATGTTAGTGACTGACCTGCTCAAGTTTAGTTTATATGATTTAGAACTGCAGCACTCCACCTAGAATGCTGTATGAGACTTTCCAGCTGTGCGGGGTTTGTCTGAGCTGGGCTGCTTTGCATGAGACTAACAAACTGTCCACTTAGACACAGGCCAGACCTTCACCTAGCATAACTTAACATCACTATGCTGCCTGCCCTCAGTGGGACGCTTACGTATATTCACAAAGGATGAATTTAGTATCTTTTCCTCCCACTTAAGTGCACTTAAATTTGTTCCTGAAAAGCAGAATAAAACATGGCTTCTCAGCAGAACAAAATCAACAGAAAGGTACACGTCTGTCACTTGGAAATAGTGCCAGTTTTATAACTGCATGTTCATACGAAAGAGGCTTAATTGTAGGAAGTCATTTTATTGTTGAAATAAATGACTTATTTACAGAGATAGTTACTTTACAGTTTTACAAAGCAGACATAATTCTTCTCAGAATAAAGTATTAAAACAGTGACAGATTTAGCACTGTCTAAATGCAGTTTATTCCAAAAAGAAAGAAATCTACAGCAATCATTAGACTAAATCATACCAATCACATAATAAAATGCTGTCCCTTGCAACTACAACAGTATAAAAAGACTTTTTATCAATCATGATCTAGTGGATTAAGCATCTGCTATACTTCTTTCTTCTTGAGTATTAGTGGACCTACATTATCTCCTGTTAATTCATTGTGCTTATTGTGGGAGCCATCACAGACGGGGAACTGGAAGAAAACATACATGAGGAATTAGTGTAACTCTGTACAGCAATTGCATGGTGATTTTTATACTTCTTCCTATGCCAAGAGCACTTTGATGATGTTGCTAGTTCCTCCTAGTATGTCCCGTTTCAACATCAAACTCCCTGTCTCCTATGAGACACAGGACACGTTACTAATGGAAAAAACAACCCACTGCTAACAGGTAACTTAAGTTTTTAAGGTCCTAAACTAGCTGTTCTTAGACACAAAGTCAGGGACAAAGCCTTTTCTATGAAAGAACAACAAGCAGAGCAGCCATAAATAGTTTAAGGTTTACTGTAGAACTAGTAAAAGTGCTCTTAATAGATTTAATCATTTGCAACCAGAAAATACTGTTTTAAGGAAAGCTGAGATACTTTGCTGAAGTGATTAGCCTGAAGCAAGAATAGTTGAGGCAGTTTCTTAGGTCCAGGGCAGATTTTTTTTGTTAGAACAGGAAAGCATTTGGTCCAGAGAGGACAAAACCAGCGTGCAGTCAGGACATTCAAAAGAAATAGAGGGTAGATGAAAAATACTCAAGTACATCTAGTTGATTTGGGGTATACAGACTATCCAGACCAGTCATCTACTGGCTGCTCAGGACCAGATGGGGATATGCTCTCCCTCACCAACACAGGTCCAGCCATACTTTCACCCTACTATGAACAACTTTCTAAGCATTGTTTTTGCAAAATAGAGTAGTTTATCTTCTAATTAGTTACAATGTATTTCCAAATATTAAACAAGGCTTGCTTGGTTTTAATCTACTCACAGGTGGTCACTCTCTAACTGTTTCTAGAAAAAACCCTACTGTGTTTCTTACATGTTTCTACTGCTTCTTTCTGCATGCAGATAGGTTTACAGTGGAGAAAAATAAGAACTGTGCCAGTCTCAAAAACCAAAACCATGTTCCACCTCCAGAGAAAAGCAACTGGGCAACATATAGCAAATTCATCACCAAAGCACTGATAAAAACATGCAAGTTTCAATCTCTAATCCTACAGTAGCACAGTGTCTTACCGTCTTAGAACGCCAACACCTGCAGTAAGCTTTAGTGAGGCACAGATCTTCAATGTTTATTTCATTCACTACTTTTGGATTTTCCTTCTGGATCTTGAGGTTAATCAAGCTATCCTTTTGCTGTTTCTTCTTGGGGAGGAATGGACGAACAGCGAGGTAACCGAGCAAGGCCAGCACACCCAGGAAAGGCAATAACCGCAGCCATTCTGAAACTAAAGACAGGTGGAATTTAGATTGGCTTTTGACACCACTTCAGTATGGTGCAGCATCAGCTACTCTCAAATGACGTAGGCTTAGGGTAGGGAATAGGGTTGCTCAGTCAGCAAGGCTCTGAGGGCAAACAAGACTCTGTGGGGAAGTCTTAAGAAGACAGACCCAGATTAAGAACCTGGGTTTTACTGTAGCCAAGGTAAAAATTTGACTCCTAGAATTTCATCTGAAGTTTAATTTTAAAGCTCTAGAAGATGACTCAATGGAAGAGAATAAATCCAAACCAAATAAAAGACGTACTGAAATGAGGAACCCTAAAAATTACAGGAGTACTGCTCACCCAAGGTAAACCAGCACTGTGTGCCAGCAAACTGGGTGTGATTACATGCAGTAAGTATATTCAGTGCCAGTATCTTAACATTCTGTATATGAAGAACTATTCAGTATGTTTTATAATTCAATTTTTAATTGCTTATTTCAGATTTTTAGCTTCTTGAAGTTTTCCTCATTTTATTTGTTCCAAGTTTTGTTAGAAAGTTTTGGTAGAAATTATACAGATTATTAGATAAGCACTAGCAAAACTTTCACCAATCTTTTTTGGTTTATTTTTCAGAGCTCTGTTTGCTCAGTGATCTGCAACCAGTTTCCACAATACACAGAGAAAGAAAGAGTCCTGAGATCAGATAAGTCAAGCCACAGAAAATTGTTTTTTACCAAGCTGAGGAACTTCTTTTAAGTACAGGTAAGAGATTCAAGTATCCTCTGCAGACTTAGCTGCCTTGCTACATCATTGTAAATCTTCTAGACATACTGGTGAGAGAAAGACTTACTGGACTTTTTAAGAAATTCATCAGCACCTGGCATAAGATCTATATAGATTGAAGGTGTATCCACTTTTGCAGCAAAACATGCTGTAACAATACTCCAGTGTAATTTAAGTACCATGGTGAAATAAAGGAGAGAGCATTTTTCTAAATTTCTGGAGAATACATTGAATCTAAACACTTATACAGAAATGGAAAAGAGTTTAAAAATGTTTTCAAATGAGAAACAAAGAAGTGTAATGAGCTGGAGCACAAATAGCTGCACAAGCACTTTGTAAGACAAGACACTGTAATCAAGTTCCTCTTTTAAATTATTTAGGATCAGAACATAGTTTGGTTTTTGAGATTAAGATGTACAAGAAAGGAAATACAATAGAGCAGGCTAAGGATGCTAGGTAGGTTGTATTTCTCAGAAGTTACATTATTCTGTATAGCTTGATTTTATTTGTAACAATAGAGCACATATTCATGCTAATACTTTACCAGTTAGAACACAGTGGCATTTTCTTAAAAATTTCAATTTTCTGGAAGTACACCATGTAATGAAAATACTTTGTGGGACTAGTTTTATGTTGTTTGAGCTTTCTACAGCCTTTGATGTGAAAGCCACACTTACTTCATTTTATCTGGGAATGCACCACAACTGTATACATGCTGAAGGCACTGCAAGAACTTTCAGTAGTTTTTCCACACCTGCGCTTGCAGCAGCCCTGTGCACAATAATTGACTAAGAGTCACTGCAATAGACTAATCTCTGTTACTCTTTTCTTAGTTCCCCCAAAATGCTGTAAGCCCTAAATAATAACAATTAATACTGAGATACTTAAAGATGTTCAGTTACATAAAATACTGAGCTTCCTGGACAGCAGTACCTGTTGGTCTCTTCTATCATTACTGTTCCAGAACGCTCCGTCAATAGGAATCCAAGTGCACTTTCTGACCTGATGTGAAAGACTGACTTGGAACGTACTTTAGAAGAGAGGAAAAATATTTGGTCACTGAAAAAAATTTCCAAATTGAGTATTTAACCTGACTGTTGGCAAAGAGGTGGATCTCTACAAAGCTACTCTGAATTCCAAGACAGAACAGATATTCCAACAGGTGCACCATAACCAGAAGCAGGGCACCTATCAAGTGTGTGAATACAACTGGACTAAGATTGACACACAAAAAGGAAATGTCTCGCATCAGAATTAAACATCGTTAAAGGAGACCAGCATGTAAACAGCAAGTGGCATCTCAATACAGCTTGAAACTCCCTGATACGCCATCAAAATCAGAACAGTAGTCATGACTATGGGAGACTCATAACCAGTTGGGTTCATTCAAACGAAACAGGAACATGATAGCTGTACTCTCTGAGAAAGGAAATTAGAAACAAACAGGAATAGGAAGTACAAGGATATTGTGTATCATGGTTATTATTTAATATTTATATCATGCTAACTTCCGATAAAGAGTTTCGCCCTCACTAGCCAATGATTTCTTTACATATTTCTAATCTGGGAGTCTCTGGAAAGCCTCCAATTACACCAATATGAATACTAATCATAAACTGGCTTGTTATTGCCAAAAGACTGCCAGAAGCTCATACTTTTAGATCACAAAGTCAACATGACCATGCTTATAGGGCATGAGAGACAAGACACTGTCACAAAGTAAAGAAGTCACAGATCTTTGGATTGGGTGGGCAGGGATGGGAGAAAAGCTTCACTCAAACTCATGCAGCGGTATCTTCCTACAACTGTAAGCTGCTCTGTGTTTTTGAAGCCATTCATACCTTTCTGAAGCAGATGTAAGGCAAGTCACAAGACTGTTTATTTTCACAGCTGATAACTCAGAATTCAGCAGTTACATTGATTCTGGAGATTCTTTATCAGTTCTGCTGCATGGGAAGAGGCAGTCTTTGGAGCCAAAAATGGAGAGTAGAGTATCGAAGAGGTTAGTCTTCAAACTTGACTTGTGTTAGACACAGATCAATCCCAAAGATAAGTCCTGGAAAGTATCAGGAACATCACTGAAACAGGAATGCCCAGAGAATTCCAAGAAGCTGAGGCCACAGACCATAGGCCACAGTTACATTTTCAAGGAGAGGTTGTCTTAACATTTAGTCCAACAGTAACAAGCCCCCCCAAAAATAATAAACACATACACTGTGAACAGAAAGGGACTGGCCAGTCACTGAGAGTCAAATCAAAGCAAGTGGTCCCTGCTTGTCTTTCACCGACTTCTCCTTTGATATCTTTTACTTTGATTTATGTTTTAGCTAATTTCTATGGAAATGATCCTATGCAGACTCAAAAGCAACTTCTTACAGTAACAGCTCAACTGCAAGCCAAAATTTTAACAAGCATTAGCTACCAGTCAAAATGGAGATTGGAACTGTGATTGTATATTCTCTAAACTGATGAAATTCTTCATGCAAATTCAAATTACTTACTCAATTACATGCTCTTCAGAACTAATAAGAAGTTCTATCCTAACTGTTTTCTGTTGTTTGCTTGGGTGCCGTAAAGGTGTTCACGTTGCTACACAAACTAAACACAGAGGACTCCACGCACCACTTTAATATGTCTGTTAGCTTATGAAGGTAGAGAGGTGACAGTCCTTTTAGCGACACAGCACACTTTAAATAAATTAAAAGCCAAAGCTATGGGTAGGTTAGCAAGCCACTTTGCAAATGACACATTCATGGTTCAAATGGGTTCTGAAGACTGTTATCATGGTTATCACCCTTCTTTCCCTCAGTACTGTAAAAGATGATCCACAAAACTGTTTTCTTCCTGCCTGGCAGCTTGTTACATTGAAGTCCCTCTTAACATGTAGGCCAAGTGTAAGACAGCCCACACAGGACTGTATCAAGTCTCTGGAAAGAAGTCTAACACCCAGATTGTTACAGAAACCCTGAAAATCTGACCACATGCTATTTTGAGGTAAATGTCTATGCCATCGTAATGACATGTACCAGGATAAAAAGCAATGGCAGCATGAGACAACACTGTTCATTTCAGCAAACTTGAGAAGGGAAGGGTAAAGCAGCTATGACAAGAAACTGAAAGAGGCATCTGAGCTGCAGCAGCGTGACGATTTAGATATCCACTTTCGAACCCAAGGTCAAACATTCTTTCCTTCCTTCCTCATTGCTTTTACCTTCAGGAGATTTGCACTGGATGTTAACAGTCTTCCTCTCTCCAAGCAAGCAGTTTTCCACTGTGATTTGGTGAGGTCACGACAGACAACAGCTGTCTCAAGATTTTTAATCAGCACACTATACAATATCCTACACAAAAGGATCCTCCCTATCCTTTTGGTCTGTTGTTTCTACAGTTGATGCACTACAGGAACTAAAGCTGCACCTGCCTGGAAGCTAATGCAGGTTTACAGAAGCAATAAAAGAGCCAACGAGCAAAGGACTGCACTGTTCCAGATGTGGGTTCTGGCCTGCCTTTGTGAACAAGGTCTATGCTAGCAAGTGTTTTATAGTGCTGGTCCCTGACTAAGTTCAGTAGATGCCACCAAAGGACAAATACTAATGCACTTTAAATGTTTTAAGATCGGTATTTTTTCCCACTTTCCAAAAAGAAGCAAAGAAAAATGCTTGACGTCATTTGCCAAAGAATATGCTCCTCTGTAATTTGTAGTAGTAAACACAAAAAGAGAATATTAATCTAATCTTCTGTATTGTCTAATAGTCTTTCACTAACAGTAATTCAACAGATATGATCCTGTAAGTTGCTGCTGCAAAATAACTCCCAGAATTGGGAATCCCCTGCTCTTACAGGCTTATGACTTTAGGACAGGACAGACTAAGATCACAACAACAATATAGAAGAGGCTGCACTTGCTGAAGAAATCCAGTTTTCTCAGATGAAACTTTAGACTGACAGCAGCTCTGAGTGCAGATAAGTACAAGACTCCTCAGTGAGCAATGAGGTTTCAATGACTTTCAATAACTTTTAAGCTCTAAGGGAGGATAATTTTTTAATTTAGGTGCCTAGGACGTGGCTTCCTATGATTTCCTTTTGAAAAGACTCACCATGTTGCGTTTACACTATGCCATAACTTTAAGCACCTTGTACAGTTTTGCTGTCTTCTCCATTTTCATTCATATCCACCCTGAGAGGAAGATATACAAGCACGACAGCAGCTATTAGTCTGGTCTAGCTGACTGTTGAGGTAAGTAACATGACAGCAAAACAGTTCTCCCGCATTGATCGTTTCATTTAAAAAAAAAAAAAAAGAATTCTGACCAGAGGTTTTCAGAATAAGTTATATTACTACTATGTAGTATGAATAAATACAGAGACTGCGCAAATAATCCTATTACAGAAATGTATGTTCGGACAAGTGAAGCAAGAAGAAATTAAACTCAAGCATTACTAAGCTTAACAAATTTAAGTACAACCTGTGGTTAAAAGGGCAATGACTTAAGTAGGAAACTGCCAAATACTAGGAATATGAGAAGCTTCGTTGTTCTGTAGCTTATTGTATCCCATTCCTCCCAACTTTGTAGCAACTGATTTTCTCTATTCGGTAAAAATAATTAACAGCATTTTCAAACAAGAGAGTAGTTGTGGGAAAAGAAGAATTGTTCATTTAAAATAGGTTTCCATGTCATGGGAAAGATAACAGGACTTGAAGTTTACAAGCAGCCTAAACATACTGGAAAAAAAAAGTACTCAAACCTGGTTTTAAAGAAATCATGCCTGTTCTAAATTAAATCATTTTCCAGCATTATTAAAGCCAAATACCTTAGTGCTGCAAGATAAACATATAAGGTTGATTCTACACTTTGAAGACTTTTTCTATTTCCAGAGCGTTTCTGTTAGAGCATTCCTCTTATTTATTATCACCAAACTAATCTTGTCATTTAACACTACTTGAGGTTCTGGCTGTATTATCACAGCTGAGCCTGGGCTCAGACAGCTCCAGTTTGCAAAGCACTGAAACGCACTGAACATCTAACGAATTTACTAGTATTTAAGCACTAAAGTGCACTGAACACAGAATTTGCTAGTATTTCGTTTTCTTTCTTGCTCGGTCTGTGATAGAGCTATAATTAATGAATAAGTATTTTCACTCCCTCACCCAAAAAATACTTATAAAAATAGTTAAATAAAAAAACCCCCTAACTTGGTGTATGTAGCAGGCTCCCAGAAATAGATTATTTTTTTTTACTCAGTGTAGACGCTCTTTTTAACCTTTTAAGCAAATGATGAAGCAGTGTTTTAGGCCTTCAGCTAAAATCGCGTTTTCTTTACATGCACGGCCTCTGACTTGCTGGTACTTGCAGAGAGAGGAATTTTAAGTACAGCGCAAACGAGCAGGGGCCGAGGAGCCTGGTGCGTTTTACTCTATCACTACGTTTTACCTCTCGGGGCATCTTAAGAGTCTTGTCGGAGAGTTTCCCTGCTGAAACGGTTTAACGGCGACTTCACGTTTGGGGTTCCCCCCCTTCTGTAACAGATAACTTGTTCAGCACGGCCGGGAGAAAGCGAGCGATGCCTGGAGCGAGGAGTGGAAGTCGCAGCCCGACACGGGAGAGGCCCGGGGGATAGTGCCGAAGCCCAGGCAGAAGCGCGGCGCCCGACCCGGCCCCGCCGCGCCCCTCACGCCGCCGGCGAGCGCCGGAGGGGCGGGAAGGGGGTCCAGGCCGCCGGGCCCCCTCCTCGCTCCCCCCACCTACCCGTGAGGCGGATGAAGCCGCCGACGCTCTCGGGCAGCGGCAGGCGCTTGAGGTACGCGGGCAGCTGGACCTTGACGATGCGAGCCAGGCTCTCCAGCACCATGGCGGCGGCCGTGAGGGAGGGGAGCGCTCCGCGACCACCACCAACGGCCCGCCGCCGCGGCCAGCCGCTCGCTTCCTCCGGCTACTCCCGCCGCGCATGCGCGGTGGGGCGGGGCCACGCCG